TCTTGCTTACCATTATGTCACAGTGCCTGACACATAATAGGTGTTCAGTAAATATTTGATGAGTGTCATTTGATAGCACTAAGCTATATCTTGAGAAGCTGATGGCATGATAGTACTAATGGATTATTGGGACAACTCTGTTCTAATTCCACCTTGGTAACCAGCTTGTTAGATGACCTTGGGAAGGTGCCTCAGACTTCCTGAGTTTAAGTTTTCCCATCTGTAAAGTGGAGCAATTGAACTGGATAGCAGAACAGTTGCAGTTTTGAGGGAATAACTTATCTATATGGCTATTATTCACTGAATTATGTTAGAATGAGATGCACCATCATGTACCTTAATTGAATGTAAGATAATTCATCTTTAGCTTAGTGACTGGTATTTTTTAGTTAAACAATAACAAAGACTAGCTTGGTGCAGGAATCTTTCTTTGGATTCAGGATTAGCAATGTATTCCTTATTTTTATTACTTTTGTCAATTTTATGGACTGTGCTCACACCTCCACTTCTCCTGGCAGGTAGAAGTACGTCTTAATGTCAAAGGCCTGGCTTGGAAATCATACACATTAAGTTGTAGGCCTTATTCTATGCTTTTTGGTCACCTGATCTTAGTGGAATAACCTCAGTTCTGTGAGCTCCAGGTTCCTTTTAGAAAGTGAGATGAAATATGAGTACTTTATATCATCACTCTTATACAGGTGAATATCTAAATGCATTGGCTGGATTATAAAAGTCACTTTAAAAGTTGAACTTACAGATGAGGAAATTGGACAATAACATGCATGCATGTGTGCTTGTGTGCAAGTCTGTGTGTATTTTGCCTAGCATGCACAAACAGTACCTATTCTTCAGTTCTACGTGGATCCTAGGTCTACCTGGCAACCCTGGAAAACAGAGAGATGGTAAATCATGAAACAGAGTCAAGCAGAAGAGCAGCTACCTTATGGTCCATACACTATGTCAACTTGAGAAGTTTAGAAGGTTAACTAAGTGACTCAGCAGGGGGCCAGGGTCTTCACTTTGGAAACATCTTGAGCATGAGGAAGAGGCACAGAGATGGTGTGGACTGGTAGCTGTTATGGTTGATACATTGTGTCAACTTGGGGAGTCTAGGGGTTTGGCTAAGTGACTCAGCAGGAAGCCAGGGTGCTTACTTTGTATACATCCTGAGCCTGTGCAAGAGGAGAGCATGGAGATTATGTGAGAGCTACACGCCCCGTAGGTGGGGGTAGCCTGTTTACAATGTAAGGGAGGGAAAGAGGTTGCTTAGGGCGATTCTGCCCTTTTGCTCTGGCTGCTTTGCTGTTCCGCTGCTGTTTCCCCTCTTTGCTCTTGTTGCTTTGCTATCTTCTGCCTCGGAGCCAGCCAAGTATGGACTGAAACCTCCACAAAATGTAAGCTAAATAAACCTTTCCTTCCTTAATTTTGGGCGTTGGGTATTTCGTCTCAGCAACGAGAGAAAAGTAACCAAGACAGTAGCATACACACAAGGTAAAGGAGGAAAAGAGGCTTGCTTCCCTCTCCCCACTGTGTTCTTGCTGCTCTTGCTGTCTTTCACTGCCTTGAACTGTTACCCTCTGCCATGTGCCACTCTGCCTTGGAGCCAGCCCAGTATGGACTGAAACCGCCACACACTGTGAGCTAAATAAGTCTTTCTTTCCTTAATTCTAAAGTGTTTTGTCTCAGCAACCAGAGAAAAGTAACCAAGACACTGAGCAAACACAAATGGTAGCTACATAGGGGTCATAAACAGTTGTCAGTTTCTGAAAGGACTGAGGACTGAGGACACTGGACACTTCTGTTTTTGTTCCTTTCATTTTAATTTCTATCTTGGAAGACAAGATCAAGCACATTGGACAGTGAGCACAACACACAGCATGTTTGTGTTACCAGATTTTCAAAAGATTAATTCAAAATGCAGTAGAATTCTCAATTAATCCAAATGCTAGGAGAACAGGATTTTCATTAATTGAGAATAAAATCTTGAGGCCACTTTCCATTCTTTTTTCTCCAATTTTCTGTTAAGATTTTTTATTAGTGCTTGTTAGTTATATAGACTAGGGAGCTTCAGTTTGGTGTGTTTGTACACCTGTACAACATACATTCACCGTTTCCTCCCTGTTACCTCCTAGTTCTACTTTTAGTTTTTTGAAGTGTCTCTGTGCTACTTTCTACAGTGTCTGTACTACTAACTTATCTTCCCACCAGCACTGTACAAGAGTACCTTTCCCTGCATCTTTGTCAGCATTTTTAAATTTTTGTCTGTTTGATGATAGCTGGTCTAACTGGGGTTAGATACTAATTGTGGTTCCCATTTGCATGTTTCTGATGATTACTTAAATTACTTTTCATGTACGTGTTGGCCACTTCTAGGTCTTCTGTGGAGAAAGTGCCTGTTTTGATTTTAAGCCCATTTTCACATTGGATTGTTTTGTGTTGTTTAATTTTCTGAATTCCTTCCATATTATGGGTATCAACCCCTTTCTGGGTGAATAGCTTGCAAATATCTTCTTCCACTCTGCAGGCTGTCTTTTAACTTTCTTCATTACTTCCTTTGCTGTGCAGAGCATCTCAGCTTGACACAACCGCATTTATTTTTACTGTTGTTCAAGTGTCTTGGGAATCTAAACATCACTTGTGCACTCATGACTTAAGGTGTCTGTCTTCCTTCTGGTTTTCTTGTAGTAACTTCAGAGTTTTGTGTTTACCCTTTTGGTCTTGAAACCCTTTGGGGTTGGTTTTTGTGTATATTGAGAGAGAGGAACCTACTTTTTTTCTGCATATGCATATTCAAGTTTGCCACACCACTTATTGAAGAGATTCTCTTTTCTTCAGAATTTGTTCTTGGAGTCTTCAAAGAATGTCATTTGGCTGTATGGACGCAGATCAATTTCTAGTTCCTCTATTTTGTTGCAGTCATCTCTGTTCTACTTTCTTGCCAGGGCCATTGTAATTAAAATGGATTTCTTTTTAGGTACTATAGCTGTTTTAATTACTAAAGATTTGTGGAACATTTTGAAGTTGGGTATTGAGATGCCAACATTTTACTTTTGCTTAGGATAACTAGCTGCTCTGGCCATTTTTTGTAGTCTTATATGAATTTTAGAATAGCTCTTTGTACTTTTGTGAAGAAAATCATTGGTATCTTAATAGGATTTGCATTGAATTTATAGACCACACAGTTACTTCAACTATATTGATTCTTCCAATACACGAATATGGAATATCGCCCGTATTTTTGTGTCTTCTCTAATTTCTTTCACCCAATATTTAAAATTTTTTACTGTAGAGATGTTTCACTTCCTTGGTCAAATTTATTCTGATATTTCATTTTTTTAGCTATTGTGAATAGGATTGATACTTTAATATCTTTTTCAGTAAGTTCATTATTGGTGTATAAAAATGCTGCATTATTATGTGTTAATTTTGCATTGTGCAGCTTTACTGAATTCACATATAAGTTGTAAGGATTCTTTGAGTACTTAGATTTTCTATGTATAAAGCTATGTCACCTCAAACTTAAGTAATGTAACTTTGTTTCCTATTCAGTTATCCTCTATTTCTTTCTCTTGCCTAATTGCTCTTGCTAAGATCCCAGTACTGCATTCTGTGATAGTGGTGAAAGTGAACATCTCAGTACCTCCCGCCCCCATACCCCAAGACTAGGGCAGCTACTGCCACCAGCAGTACCACAGGGACTCCCCTCTGGAGCCTGATGACACACCTTGGAAGCCAGTGCCCACTAGAAACTCAAGAAAGGACCTTCAACCATGGCAGTCTGGGCTACTGGGGTTTTTAGAGCCTGCTGTCCTCAGTCAGCAAAGAAGAACTCACACAGGGACTGTGCTTTGACCTCCCCATATCTAAACCCAATGCACTATCCATCAACATCCATCCCCCTCTAAATGAAAAATACTTTACTGCAAAAGCTACTTCAGAAGATTAGAAGACGCAAATGTTGCAGCAAATGTGCAGACATCACAGTATGGGCAAAAGAAATAACACACACATCCCCTGTGGATGTTTCTCTAGTGCCTGCGCTAGTAGAAATTTCTAGATGCAGGGTTACAAAGGCAGAAGGTCAGGTTCTGCTCCCCGAGACTCTCAGTGTAGTGTTATGAACTGTAGAATTATAAGAAATGACTGGACACAGCTTCCAAGTGATTATTTTAATCAGCATTGTTATCATTTAACTATGGATACTTTCCTTTTTAAAATACGGACGAGGTCAGGCTCTAAAAGGCTACTTCTCAGTCTATTTGCTCTTAGCTCTAAAGTGTTGGAAGGGCTTTCACACAGTTCCAACCAACTTGAAGTGTGATCTGTCCTCTCCAAGTTTTAAAACGAAGTTCAAATCTTTTGTCTTATGGTGATGTTCTCTTAGGTAACGTCGTTTCCCACGGAGCGAGTGTTGTCTACATTGAAAATCCACAGAGGTGTTAACCCCTTCCCTCCCTCCAGCCCACACTCCAGGTGGCCACAGGATGTCTGGCGTCCGTCTGCCTCTCCCTCACTTCCGGTCGTCCTGCAGAGTTGTCCTGCCTGAGCCACTGTGTGTGCAAGAGCTGCACGAACAAGTTCACCAACAGTGTTGCTCACCTCGCTGGGTCTTTAACCGACTTTGACCCTGCTCCCAGCTGAGCCCCCGGTGAGCAGGCTTCCACCATGCCTGCGGCTCATACACAGCCTCTTGTCTTGCTGAGGCATTGTACTTATCTGCAGTGTGCTTAATTTTTTCCTTCGGAATCTTTCCTTACCACACTGTAATTCACCGACTTACAATACTCATAATTTTCTCACTGCTCTGACCTGAAAATCGTCTCCCCCATCATTGTCCACACATACAACCAGTTTCCACTGCCACACACGGCCACAGTAACTAAGGAAATATGGAATAAATGCCGGGCGGCATGAAGGGTCTGCTTGAGGGCCTTGTGCAGGAATTTAAGGTGACTTCTGCTGGCACGGTTGAATTTTCCCCCCTCAGCACCTTCAACGGAGAAGCAGACGTGGAACTGTGCACACGTGGGTTGAACCAGGCAGACTGTTTTGCCTCCAGGTAAAATGAAGAGAGCGGTGGGTGAGGAATGGAATATGTGCAACTAAGCAGCTATAAATATCGACTGTGGAATTTTTAAACCGAGCCGGAAGCAGGAGTGGGCACCGAAGCAGGGAGCGTGGACGGGAGAAAGGGTCCGTTCATCGGAGCGAGACTGCCGGAGAAAATGCGCGGGGCCGGTGGAAGCGGGCCAGTGACGGTGCAGTGGATGGGGTTACGGCTGGGCCGCAGGTGACACTCTTGACGAGGTCTACAGTGTGACCGGGAGCAAGCAGGGCGAGGCAGGGTGGACGGCGCGGTCACTGGGGGAGCGACATTGTGACATGAGCAGCCAGGCTGTGACGCTTCACTTCATCTCCGAAGTCACCGAGAGCGCACTCGTAGGTGCGTCTGGAGCGTGTGAGAGCGAACGAGGAGCCGACACTGCCTGCACATGTGGGGTGGGGTGAGGCCCGGGGGCCAGAGGTAACCCCGTTCAGTTAGCCCAGCCAGTCCCCCTCCAAAGACCTCGGAATTGAGATAAAAAGCAGCACGCTTTGGTCCAGAGTCAGCAAAGCTCCAATACTCTGAATTAAATCAAGCTCCTCGGTAGTGCACGAGTCCAGGTTTCTCTCTTCTCTTGGAAAATGAAAGCCTCGTCCACACTGAGCTCAACCAGACGTGCAGGAATAACAAACTGGTGCTGAGTGGCGACTGTCCGGTTACACAGCTCACACTCCACGCCACGCCCCCCGGCCCCTCCTGCTCACGCCCCCTTCTCCAGCTGTCCTGACTGCTGGTGTGTTTCCATCCTGTGTTAAGACTGCGTTTTGTCAAAGGACTGTAAAGACTGCTAAAGCTATCCACAGGAGGGAGTAAGTCATGTACTTTCCTTGTGGAATCTTAGCTTTGCTCACATTTGCCCAAGACCCTAAGCTAAATATTTAGAAATAGAGAAATGTAAAGTTTCTTGGTTGAAAATCGAAACAAGTTTTGAGTATTTGCAACAGCGATGTTTTGTTTTCTCCTTGCAGCGAAGTTGGATAAGAAAAATATTTTCATCCCTTCTCTTCAGTCGGACTTCGGGCTCACTGAGGTTTTACAACTTAGATCGCTCCGCCAATTCACAGTCACACACACTGAGTGAACAACCCTGAATTGTAAGTTAGCTCAAGTTATGTTCTAAACATGTTCTCTGTTTTACAGAAGTAGAACAACAGATCAAAAAAGACCTTGAAGATAATATGTTTGTCGCGCTCTCTACTTATAATCAAACGGATGGGCAGGGAGATAAACAAACATAGGGTGGCGCAGATGTATCGCACGGCAGAACTTGAATTCAAATTCTTACCATTCCTGAGAGTATACTCCAAGAGCGTAATTACTTCAGTTTAGGGTCTTTGAAGATATTTTTATTGTGAAATATTTCGAGCACAGAAGCTTACAGAATTTAAACATTAATATCGGTACTCCTACTATGCTGCTCTGCTGAACTTTAATATGCATTTAGATTTGGGAAGAGGGTAGAGTTGAAGCCCTTTCCTCCATGTTCTCATTCCAAATTCTAATCACTTTTTTTTTTTTTTGGCTTCAGGGCTAATCCTCACTATAACTTCGGTGTTTTTCAGAAGCTCCTCTAAGAACTGCTTTAAAAGGAAATAAATTCTAAAGGCGATTTCATTTGTGTAGGTTTAAAAGGTTCACGTGTGAACCTTTCACGCTAAGAGCAGAATGCAAAGGGAGTCTATTTGCAGACCCAGTTACCTAAGGCAGGGAAGCCGAGGCACTCCGTGCGCCTCTCCGTGAAGCCTCGCTTTGAAATTGAGCGCTGAACCAAGCTCTGCGAGAGCCTTTGCCTTCTGGAATAAGAGTCACATCTTTCCTCTAAGGGTGAAGGTGGGAAGAGCTTCTACGTCCAGCTCTATGGGCCAGTAACACAGAGCCTCATAGTCCAAAGGATCCCATGAGTGGGTTAAAGTTCTGTTATTGCCGCCTTAAAATCTGGAAAATGTTTGAGTAAGGAGCCCGATATCTTTATTCTGCTCCGGGCCTCGCCGGTTATGTAGGTGGTACCCGTGGTCCCGATGCAAGCCCGTTGCATTTGGTACATTCTAGGGACACTGACTGCTAGGCCCATTTTGTCCCCAGGAGGGCGCTCTTCCACCTTTAATACTGAGTCCTCATCCTAGAGGCTGACTTCCTGCCTGCCTTCCAGTACATACAGCTGCTATAAAGCCGGGATGCTTAGGTAGGATGTCAAAGGCTGGCTGCTTCCCCGGGGAAATGGACCCGGAAGCACACACGGATAAGAAAGACAGGCTTTCGCTGAGCTCTTAAAAGCAGTGTTTCTTTTCTCAGCAAAGCACCTTCTGGCATAGGCGGCGTTATCCCCACTTACAAAGAAACAAGTTACAAAGGTCAAATAGCGCGGAAGAAGTATTGGAATTTGAGCCCAGTACTGTTGGTCTTCAGAGGCCAGAATGGAAGTTTTTGTTTTAACCTAAGGATAGCATTTCTAGAAGCAACCATGAAGACAGTTGTGCAAGCAGGACTTCTGAGAGGGTACGCTTTACATCACGCACTCCAATAGCCTAAGAAAGGTTTTCCAAGGTGGACCATGTACTTCCTGAATTCAACCTACTAACCAGAGTGCTGGGTTGCTATTCAGTGACAGTAAACGGCATCTCCAGTTTCACTGAGAGGCTAGAGTTCCAATATGTTGTCCCATTTTCTTCTCAAATTTTCTTATGCTTCTCAGGTTATGAGCTTTGATTGGGGGCTCTGAAAACATAGGCACCGAAATTGAGACATAAGTTTAACTTGGTATATTTCACCTGAAACAACCAAATTACAGTAACACATGGAGGGTACTTTAGGCCACATATGCCTCTAAGCTACCCATAAATAATGCCCAACTGTAAGGTGGAAAATTTAACTATTTACTGTTATTTTTATTAGTGGTCTTTTTTTTTTTTTTTTAAGATAGGGTCTTAATATGTAGCTCAGGATAGCTTTGAACTCACTGTGCAGTTCAGGCTGACCTTGAACTCAAGTGATTCTCCTGCCTTAGCCTTCTGAACGCTGGGATTGCAGACATGTGCCACCACACCCGGCTTATTTACTGTTATTTAAAAATGCATACCGCCCACAGCAGACACATTCACCTTCTGTGAGGTTTCACATTATTGCAGCGTTAGCTTGTCCTTTTATAAAAGGGGGCATTTTGAGCATTGCATTGAGTATGGTATTGTCCTGTAGGATTGAAAAAGATAATCCATATCAGATTAAAGAAGTTCCCTTTCTTTCCTAGTTTACAAAGGATTGTTTTCAGGAATTTTTTATTTTTATCGACTGTACTTCCCCCATTTTTTCAGTTTCCTGTGTTTTCTCCCTCTTTTTAAAACATATTGTATCCAACTAAATTAACTGGCTAAGACTTAAAATCTGGAATAGCTGGGATAAATGTAACATACATATTACATATTTGTTTTGCTCCATATTACTGGATTTGTATTGTTGAACTTTATTATATCTTTGTTGCCTATTCAATGAATTTTCATTGTGTTTTTATAATCCTCTTCTTTCTGTTTTCTTTGGGCTGATTCTCCTGTGTGCATTCTACCTTTTGAAGTTTAAACCTTGTTTTGTGTATTTTATACCTCCCTTCTTTTTCTTTTCATTTTTTTCTTTTTATTTTCTAATATTACCATTTTCGACATGCTTCCTTCAAAAATATTGCTCTGGCTGAACTGCACCTATTTGTGTGATTTATTTTTGCATGCAATTTTAAGTATTCTCTGCTTTGCATGATGGGTTTTTGATCCATGAGTTACATATATATGCTGAAATCAAGAACAAAAACGTGACTAAAATTACAACAATCCTGCCTAATGCAACCTGTGAAATTTCTTTAGCTTCTGGTTTTGTAATTATCTTTCATTTTGTCTAATTGTCTATTTAGCCTGCTTGCTGAGTTCTAATTTCGATCATTATATTTCTCATTCTAGAAGTTTTGCTTTCTTTTTCATATCTTCCAAGCCATATTTCATGTTCTCATTGATACTTTCAGAATATTACACATTCTTTTACAATATATTATCTGTTAATTTCAGCTGTGGGTCTTTTTCTTTTTCTTTTTCTTTTTTTTGGATCTAAGTCTGCAGCTTATTGTTTTTGCCCAATCTTGCTTCAGAAGATTTCTTGCTATGAGCTCATGTGGGAAATGTACCTGTGTCATTTTTGTGGACATTGGCTTTCATGTGACTTCCGCTCAGAAGGACCCCTGGGTGCTCCATCAGATCCCTGTCTCAGATACTCCCAGGGTGGGGCTGTAGTCAACTGAAGTGTGGAACTTGAAATTCAGACAAGATCGGGTGTGTTCAGCGTGGTATGGCGCAGGCTCAACTTGAAGCTTAGAGGCTCCGTAGAAATGTGAATTTTGCCCAACGCCCTGTGACCATGGAGCTGTGTTTGAGAGCTTCTGGGAGATTTATTTCCTTGACCTCCCCACTGGCAGCCAGTGCCCGAGGGCAAACACCCCAGTGTCTCCCTCCCAGAGGCACTTCCCCCAATTGTCGCTGAGGATGACCTCCCTCAGGGCCTAGGCTGGAAAAGCAGCTTCCAGACCAGCGTCCCACTTGCTCAGATTCCGGTAACGGTCCGGGCTTCCCCACGGGAACCATGAAGGCCGGAAGACGCCCCCTGGTGAAAACTGCCCCAGGGCTCCGATTATCTTGCTGCTTTCTCACTTTCTTCTCTTTTCTGGCCTTGCTGGGCTCTGACTCAAGTACATCCTGACGAAGTGTTTCTTAAGCCCTTTCCAGTGGTTTCCTCTGGACCACTCAACAGTTTGCCTGAAGTAGAAATCTAGGAGGAATCTCTAATAAGGCAAGTGATGACAGGGACATAAAATATATATTTTTTTAATTCAGACATTTAACATGCTAACAAGAAAGAAAGCTCAGTCTAACAAGTCGTGAAGGAAACAAAAAGCATTGTTCAGTGGAAGAATCAACTAGAGAAAAGGTTTGTCCTACTGGAGCAGTGGGCACACCTGGAATCCCAGCACTCTAGGAGGCTGAGACAAGAGGATTTCAAATTCAAGCAAGCCCAGCCTAGGCAATTTAGTGGGAACCTGTCTCAAAATTAAAAACTAAAGAAAAGAAGCCACAGCTGGACGTGGTGCTGCATGCCTGTAATCCCAGGACTAAGGAGGCTGAGGCAGGAAGATCTTTGTGAGTTTGAGACAAACCTGGGCTACTTTCTGATTGGTTTCTTGCCCCGCTGTAATTCCTGCTGAGTTGCTATGGCACCCAAGCCAGTATGGGGCTGCAGGTCATGTGGTATGGTGCTGAGTCACCATGGCATCCAGCTAATATGGCGCTGGCCACTAAAGGCCATGTGCTAAGCCCCACCCTTCTTCCACTGAGTCTAATTACAACTTCCTACTTCCCTTTTTGTAATATCTTGTTCCCTTTTCCCCGTGCTCCCACCCAATCCCGGTGTGCCATGTCAGGCAGTGCGCCTCCTAAACCCCGCCTCCAGCCTGGGGCTATTTAACCTAGGACCCCACGAGAGATCGGCAGAGGCCACGTTTTTCTCTTTCCTGTGGCCTTTCCGCGTCCACAACAAAGGCATTTTATTCTGTTTTACTTCTCTCTGCTCTGGAAAAACCTATCACTTTCAAATTTATTAACTTTTGCCACTTTATTCTCACAACTGATTCTATCTAGGCTCTGTGCTACAAAAAATGTATACATGCTTTCCCATGCCCACACTGTCTGGCATTTGGCAGTATCAGACTTTCTTACATTTGTGTGTGTGCAGCATGACTTGGATTTTCATTTTCCTGGGATCGGGATTTTCCTCCTCTGAAACTTGCCTACTCATATTTTGCTCTTTTAGACATTGGTTTTTTGTTATATTTGTAAAACAATTTATAATTGTTATTTGTATTTTGAGAACAATTCTAGGGTTGGTTATATATCTTGTAAATATTTGTTCTGCTATGCAGCGACACAAGTGTGTTCAGTGTTAATGCACTTGTGTTTTTTGTGTTTTCTACATGCCTGTGACTTTTGTGTCATGTTTAATGAAACTTTTCCTGCCCTGAGTACATAAAGATCCTTCCCAGTAATAGATTCTGCCAGTCTGAATGTAT